AACCAAATTCACATACGACCTCGCTTGTCACTTTGGCAAAGGAACTTATTTTATGTAAGACGACCGATACCATTCTCGAATCTGCAGCCCTCAGTGTTAATGGTACGTCAGGCCTGAAGGGCCATGTTTACAAAGTTATAGTGGTAGCCCTAGTAAAATATTTTGCTCCAACTGGAATTCGAAAGTGTTGGGAGAACAAGATGGTGGTGGCAATAATATTGATATGAAGTTGAAGGAGCTCGGTACTAATAATCAAGATGGAAACTAATACTCGCCTTCCATGAAGGGATGGTGCTTTGTGTGTGCGTGTGTGCATGTGCATGTGCATGCCAAGAATAACATTTTCCTCTTGATTTTAAATAAATTGATGAATAAAAAGTATTGTTGTCTCTAGCTCTTTTGATAGTTAAATAAATGAAAATAGGTAAAGTTTGCTAGTTTTGGGGTTCAAATTTCAATTTTTGTGGTTTTGCATGGTCCAGTCTAGGGTACGCTTTGGCAACCAATTTAGCTCATTATTTATACATAATGCAGGAAGCTACACTAATTTGGCTCATTACAAGCTTTCGAAGTTTAATGCATTAACCAAAAGGCTTTGCAATTTAGCAGTAAAGGTCTCTAGGATTTTTTGGTTATATAGAAATCATTATTGAAAAGTGAAAGTAAAAGTGAAAGAAATGAAAATTATTTTTTTAGGATTCATTTGACTAGCCTGAAAAATAAAATTTGTAAAATATGTAGAGAGACCGATAACTATTATAAAATTCTTACCAAATATCACACATAAACACAATTTATTTTAAAAAGTGAAATTGGAGGTATAATTAGAATTTCATATGATTTTCTCATTCTTATGTTTATTGTAAGAAAATTTTGTGAAAAAGTTGGATGGTTATGAAAACCACCCAAACCTACGGATGGCAACGGGACGGGTTTGGAGCGGGTTTCCTTAAATTCCGTCCCACCCCATTTAATTTTTGGCAAGTTCATGCCCACCTCGTGTCCCGAGACGGGTTGGATTTTCATATCCATTTCCGTCCCGTTATGAAATATTGTGCCTCATGTCCGCCCCGCTAACAATTTTTTTTCATAATTTTCTTGGCTCATAAATTGATCTAGTGTCCCCCTCTGTCTTCCACAATTTTCTTGATTAAATAGCTCGAACAGAAGAAGACGAAGAATAAATCAATTCCTATGTCTATGCCTGAGAAGTATAGATCAACTAAATTATAAAATAAGAGAGATAATATAGATATATAGTGTGTGTGTGTAAGTATAAAAAAGGGAGAAGAATGAAGAAGAACACATCTACCTGAGGTCGAAGGTTTGATTTTTGAGTTTTGCTCTCTGTCTTCCTTTGATGCACCGCTTAGTTCACACATAAGTGGTAAAATAAGTTATAAATATTATATATATATATATATATAGCGGGGCAGGGTCCCGAGCGGATATGTATAAGAACCCTTATCCGTCTCGTGACCGGGTATAAAATTTGTATCCATGCTTGCCCTAACGGTAAAAATTGCCACCCCTACCTAAACCCACAAATTTTTTTTTTTTTTTTTTTTCTTGCTATTCTAAATAAATTTTTTTTTTTTTCATTTATTTTTTCTTTCTTCCTATTTACGTCTAACCAAATTATGCCAAAAAAAAAAAAAAAAAACCCAGTGGATTCAACCGTTCAAAGAGAGAGACTTCTGTTTCTCTGCTTTCCTTTCCTCCTTCCAAAGCCTGGACCTAAAACACACGCGACACTGAAAAGGGATGGTGGATGTTGTTTGCACGTGACAACTGACCCCTAATCCGAGTCCTTAAAAATTTGCCAAAATTCTCAACTTCTCAAAAAAAAAAAAAAAAAAAAAAAAGAAAAAGAAAAAAAAGAAAAGAAAGGATTCGTCTCTTCGCAGCGGTGCTCTCTCTCTCTCTCTCTCTCTCTCAACATGAATGGGCACGTAAATGTTTAGTCTTATACATTTTTTTTTTTTTTGTCAATCTCAAAATACTGATTTAATGTGATAATGTAGACTAATTACCAATGCCTTTTCTAAAGAAAGGTTTAACGTCCTAGTTGTTAGAGTGTCTCATGTCAAATCTGAATAAAAATTAAAATAGACATAAATAAATAGATATACAATACTATCTAATAACTTAAATTATTAAATCAGGACAAACGCTGCCCACCGTTATAGTTGATATATGAGCCAATGTAGGGGTAGGCTCTGGTGGGCTTGAACCCATCCAAAAAAAAAAAAATTAGTATAGGCAATTTTAGCCCGCCTAAAAAAAATTACTAGTATTAGCCCACCTAAAAAAATATTAACCCATCCCATTAACAATTCTAGGATCCGCCCTTAAAGCCCACACAATTCTTAATCTGATGTCATGCCAAGAGTCTAACCTGGAATGGTCCGGGTTGCCATCTTGGGTAGTCTGAGTAGCTTGACCGTAACAAGAGCATTGAGAGTTATGATGGAGAATAATGTTAGAGATGTCCTATATCAGATTCAAATAATAATTGAAATAAGTATAAATAAGTAGGTATGCAACACGTGATATCCAATAGTTTTAATTTTTGAGTCAGTGAACAAACGCACAACCGTTATACTAGTCTTGTAATGTCAAATATTATAAGTGTGTGTGGATTTACTTGAACTTTTATTTTTTATTATAAATTATTTTATTTAAAAAAATATGATAACAACGCATTAGACCGGTGAGAATCAAACTTTATTATTTCTCAAACTTTATTACTCCCTTTATCCCATAGCCATTTTAGGAAATAGAAGTTTTTTAAGGGTGTTTGACTTTTTGAAAAAAAAAATTAAAAAATTAAAAATTAAAAAATAAGTAATTAATGTATTATTCCATTTTAAAATTAAAAAAAGAAAAGAAAAGGTGATAGTAATACATTTGATGAGAATCAAACTCTATTATTCCGTGCTTCCCGTATAAGCTGCTTGACTTTCTGTTAGTCTCATTTTTTTTTTTTCAAGTGTGTATATATATATATATATATAAACGAGTCTTAAATTTGAAAACTTAAATGGTATCTATTATGAAAATTACATGGAACAAGAATTTTGAGATAGACCAAAAAGAAAATATGGCCTATTAAATTGGGGGCGTAATTAACCTCTATTTAGGGGAAATTTCAATAAATCATGTGAGAATTAAAAAATAAAAAATAAAAATTTAATATCTTAATTTGGTCCACTTTTCATCCTCCCCAACTATTGAATTTATTTGAAAACTTAAATGGTATTTATTTTGATTAAAAAAAAGAAAGAAAAAAATGGTATTTATTATGATAAAATGCATTTAACTTGACTTTTCACATTAAACAAGAATTTTGAGATAGGCCAAAAAGGAAATATGGACTGTTAAATTGGGCGTAATAATCCTCTATTGGTTTAGGGGAAATTTCAACAAATCATGTGAGAAGTATGAATTAATATCTTGTTCGGTCCACTTTTCATCCTCTCCATAATTAATTAATTAATTAATATTATTTTTTGGCAAAACCTTCCCTATAAATTAAAAAGGAGAAATGGCCCAAGACCTCACACCCTACAACCAAACCAATGACCAAAAGAGACGGACTAAAAAGATGAGCACATTCATGAGTCATATAGTATTACTAGCGTCTCTTGTATTGCTATTCAGCACCCTCTGTGCAGCTCTTCCTCTCAAAACAACAGTGAGAGTTACAAATGCCTTGGGAGATGGCCAAAACCTAACCCTCCATTGCAAGTCATCCGAGGACGACCTCGGCCACCATTTGCTTCTCTATGGTCAGTACTTTCAGTGGCATTTCAGACCCAACATTTGGGGCTCGACCAAATTCACATGTGACCTCACCTGTCAATTTGGCGAAGGAACTTTTTTTATGTACAAAGATAAAGATCATAACCAAATCTGTAGCCCCAAGTGTTTCTGGGACGTCAGACCTGAAGGCCCATGTTTATATGCAAGAAATAATGAAGTTCTTTGCACGGAATGGCCGAAAAATTCGGTAGAACAAGTTGGTGGCAACAACATTGCAGCTAAGAAGAACAATGTACCTCAGTGACAATCAAGATGCATGGAAATACTCCACTTCGATGATAATGTGTTTTTTTGTGTGTGTGTGTGCATGAACGTGCATGTCAAGAATAACATTTTCCTCTTGATGTGTCTAAATAAATGAATAAAAAGTAGTTATGTCTCTCTTTAGATATTTGAATAAATGAATTTATGGAAAGTGCGTTTGTTTGCTTGAAACTTCAATTTTTGTTCCTTTTTGTGGTATTGCATGGTCCAATCTGGAGTACATTTTGGGAACCAATGTGGTTCATTGTCTACAATGCAGAAAGCTCTACCTACACAATTAAAGTTTACCGCAGCACACATTAAAAGTTTCATTTATATATTCACACTTATTTACCCAAAATATATTATAATTCGAAAATATATCTGAACTTGAGAAATGATTTATACTTTAAACTCAAACTAGGTCTTAAGTATCTTATCCATTCTCACAAATTGTTTGAACGAGAATTGAATCATTCGACTTGTTATTACGAAATACGAGGATAGTTAGAATTTACGCATTCTAACATTTACACACAAAGCGACTGTTTGTATAATAAATGCACAAGAGTTTTTTACTGCTGCGATTTTTGTACGGAGTATTTGAATTTAGAATGTTCGACTTGTATGTAAACCACCTTCCACGATTGAAGAGAAAGGCACTTCTATTTCCACTCCTTTCCTTTCTCTTGCAGTGGAACGGAAACTTTTGCCAATTTCTTTTTGGTGTCTTTTATATTTCTTTTTTCTCGTCCTTTCCTTTTCCATCTACTCGGATGAGTCTTATCCCTGCGTAGCCTGGTTTTATTGAGCTGGTTTTATTAGGCTAAAACACACGTCACACTGAAAGGACGGTGGATGTTGTTTGCACGTGACAACTGACCCCTAATCCGAACCCTCTAAAACATTTGCCAAATTTTCAACATCTCAAAAATAAAAATCAAGAAAGGAAAAAAAAATCAGATTCGCTTCTTCGTCCTACACTGTCAGCGGTGCCCTTTCTTTCTTTATATTCTATTCCTTCAAAATTCCAGTACACCGGTTGTCTCTATTTTATTAGTATATATGTGTATATGCATCTGTGATTTGTATAATTACATGACCTAGACGGTGATTGAGGAATTTAATTTACTACTATCAATCAAGTATCGTTTTCTCAATCGGTCTAGCAGAGATGGGTGAGAACTCCCATGGAACCACGGCCGAAGAAGTATCTAGACTGGTCGAGTTAGCCAAAGAGTTACAGGACTCAGCTTCGTCCCTAATTTCAAGAACGTCGCGGGACGAAGAAGCTCTTCGATTGCGAGCCCTCGCGCTGGATTCCGATATCCACCGACTCCGTTCCTCCCTCAAGAAAGCAGACTTCAATTCCCAAGAGGCCGAAAAAGTAACAAGAAGATTAATTTTTTTATATATATATATATATATTTATTTATTTATTTATATTTATATTTATATTTATATGTATGTATTTAGGTTTTGTGAATAGCTGTAATAGCAGCTTCTGTTTGCTTGTCATTTGACTACCTTAGTTGCAAGAAGAGGTATACAGAGCTAGCTATGCATTAAGTGAAGGAGATGCGGCAGCATTTCTTCCGAGTAAATCTCAAGGTGCTATCTATTGATTTCTTGTGATTTTTGTTCATTTTATTTAATTATTTAGTGGGATTTAGTTATCGCATGTGTAATCAATGTGTGATCGATTGACTACAGGAAGGTTTTTGAGAATGTTTCTTGGTCCAATTAGTGTTCGCACCACTCGGAAGGATATTAAACTCAAAGTGAAAGAGGAATACAATGCTTTCAGAGTATGTTTTTCCATTTTTTTTTTTTTTTGTATCTATGCAATTCATTCTTCAAAGTTGTGACCTTCTTTTTTCCTTCTGTCTATATGGTTATTTTCTGCTTAGAAAATTTTTAGGACTTAAAATCACTTCAACCGTATTTGTTTTATTCCCTTATACACTTAAAGTTCTTATCTGTGGAACCTAAACTGTACCTACTTCAATCATTCAATGGCAGGAAAAAAAAAAAAACTAAATAAATTGAAAGCAACAATGTTACTGTTTGCGTCACCCAAAACAGAATCCCATCCTATCTTGTGCCAGGTCCTGTGCCTTTACATAACTTATGCTGCAACAACTCACATCGCTCATGCAACAAGTTATGTCGCTTATGCAATAACTACATTACATTGTTAGTCATGGTGTTGCACTTCATCATGAGACTGTTGCCCTAGCGATACCGGACCAAGACACAGGATCCCCTTCACAGGAGTGGATTTGGATTCCCCAAAACAACCTGGAAACGTTGTATTTCCTTACCTAATTAAACACTCAAATCGTTACCCCTTTGTTTTACATCTTTTACAACCTGTAAAGCCAATAGGCCAACCAACACATTGCCACAAAATCAATGATAATCAGCTCCCCAAATCGACATTTAGGCACAACATTTGGCTACAAGCTTTTATAAACCTGAGCCCATCATAAAAAATTAACTATACACAATCACTAAGAAGCTATTTTTAAATTAAATTCTTGAACTTTATCTTGAAATTGTGAAGGGATTAAGAAGACCTTGTTCCAATCGAGTGAGATAGTAAATTGATGACGAGATGAAATTGGTAGAAGCATCTAAAGCCTCAGTAAAGGCCACTGTATATGCTATGGCAGTTTTATGCTAAGAAACAAATCTGAAAGATTTGAGAGGAATGCAGTAACTTGATCATGTTCTTCATTCATTAGTAATTGATGCGAATCTCATTTTACTTCTAATTCACATGGATGGTGTTCTTTTTGGCAGAAGGTAGTCCATTTCCTGTCAATTGAGTGGATGAAGAAATTTAATAGGCTTTGGAAGCCTAAACAAAGGCTGTGGGCTCCACAATGATTAAGAAGCCTTTTTTGGTTCATGGAGTAGCGTCTATTGTAGCGTTTGGAGTCTTTATTTGTGTCTATTTCATGTTAGTGTCTTGTTAGACATATATTTAGCCACTAAATTCAGCTGCAAGCATTCTTAACTTGGCCCACCATAAAATCACTGCAGTTGTATTGTGAGATTGCCAAAGCTGTCCTGCATCACTCCTACACGGCCATCACCAAGTTCTAGTCCCATCTTTTATTTCATGTTAGTATCTTGTTAAACATATATTTAGTCACAACATTCAGCTGCAGGCATTCTTGACTTCACTGCAGCTGTATTGTGGAGTTGCCAAAGCTGTCCTCCAACACTCCTACATGGCCAATACCAAGCTCTAGTCCCGTCTATGCAGGGTGTTGGGAGCTGAGAATTGGAGACAAGCCTAGCCTTTGACTACTATTCCCCCCTTATTCTTCAATCTTCTAGAGTTAGTTATGCGTTTTGGACACTGGTTGTTCTTTGGGCACAAGCATGTTGTACCTAAAAGCATTGCAGTAGGATACATTTTTCATGATCATGTATTTACCTTTTCTCAGTGCATTATCTTCACATATAATATTATAGGCTTCAAAGTGGAAACATCTGCGCCCCCACTGCACTTTGACTGAGTTCGCCACAAAAACTATTTTTCTCCTTGTTGCTAGCTTTTGTTCCTCAATGTATACTTTTGAATATATCTTGGTAACTCTCATTGCTCTTCAACAATAGTATTATGAATTGTTGAAGTATAACTGTTCCATAATTAATTATTACTCTTTCCCATGGACAGGATAGGACTGCACTTCTGTTTCTGTTTTTCCCATCTCTGATACTGGTGTTAAGGTCTTGGATTTGGAATGGATGCTTACCTGCATTTCCAGTTCAGCTTTATGAGGTACCATCAATTTGAAACAAGTCTCTGTATCTCATATTTGTTCAATTCGTATTTGAAAATTATATTTTTGTTATATGTGAGAGCATACTGAGCATACCTTTTTCAGGCATGGTTGTTATTTCTCTACACAGGTTTGGCTTTGCGGGAGAACATATTGAGAGTGAATGGAAGTGATATTCGTCCATGGTAATTGGATATGATTTTTCTGTGTCATTTTGTTGAACTATTTCCGTATACTCAACTCAATGAAGTGGTGCCTCAACTATTTGGAGCCAATTACGTAGAATTTTGGTTTACCTTTCTGTCCTGTCTTGGACTAAAACTTCAATCAAACCACATGCTAATATATATTTCCTTGCCATCTCAACTCATTAATTTTGGTGTACCCCTTCCCCATGCATTATCTTCAATTGGGACCTTGTTGGTCTGAATTTTTTAGGCTGAACCATTTAGTTGCTTTCCCCCCATTTTATCTCCAATAGGTTTTACTTCTTCTGTTAATAACCATCTGCTCCAAAAGCTTAAGATGTTAGAGAGGGTGTAACTTTAATATTTAAATCCTTCAACACGCCCCCTCATGCATGGCCTTCTTTTGGTCCAACATGTGTTTTCAATTTTTAATTAGGGTGACGGCGAGGTTTGAACTCGAGACCTTTGGCTCTGATACCATGTTAATAACCATCTACTCCAAAAGTTTTCCATCTCATAAATTTTTTAATATTTAATCTTATACCTTTTGTCTCACCACTCATCCATTTCAACTTCTGTACTTTGGGTATAGTCATTTGCTGTGGGCCCGTAAACTAACGCTTTCACTTTCTTACTTTTGCTTTTTTCAAAAGTAAAATTATAATTTTCATTCCTAAAACTGAAATATAAAGTAAAATTACGTTTACTAATTTTTTATGCTTTCAATATTTTCAAGCAAGAAATTAGAAAGCAAGTTTAATAATTATAATTTTGATTTTGCTTTATATTTGACAATCAATGTTATATATATATATATATATATATATATATTTATCATCACTGCTGCAATTGACGCCGGGAATAGACCGCCACCAGCCACCAAGAGATTGGGATGAAGATAACAAAATTTCAGATCTACCTCACCCCAACCCCATCTCAGTCTCTCTCATCACCCTCCTCTTCTTCTCTCTCTCTCACCTCACCCCACAAAATTTCAGATCTGCCTCACCACAAACCCACCTCACGCCAACCCTATCTCAGTCTCTCTCATCACCCTCCTCTTCGTCTCTCTCTCTCACCTCACCCCACAAGACCCCAAAACCTGGTTCCTCACTCTCCCCACCACTCTCCTCCACCACTACTCCACCGGTCGAACCATCAAGGTCCAGACCACCCCCAAATCACCCCCAATTAAAGTCTTCGCCATTCAAGATGGACCCATCAAATCCAATAACATACTCATTGTACATGGGTTAGGTTGTGGTTCTTACTCTTTTCACAAAATTGTCGAGTATCTGGGCCTCAAAGGGCTCCACGCCGTCGCTATCGATCTACCAGTTCTGGATTTTCCGATGAGTCGACGGTTATGGTGGAAGAGAGCTCCGGGGGTTTTTTTTTTTTTTTTTTGTGACTGGTTGAAGTTGATTTGGTGATAGGTTTTGATGTGTATGAGAGAGGAGAGAGATGGTCGTGGCAGGGGCTATGGTGGGAGGAGGTGGCAACGGCGATGACCATGGTGGGGAGGAGGTGGGTGGAGGAGACGGTGGTGAGAGATAGTTAGAATTTTTTATTATAAACAGTGCTACAGTAAAGTACATAATTTTCGTGAACAGTGTAGAAAATAGAGAAAGTAAGGATTTCTCACTTTCTCTTCTCTTCACAAAATAAGAAAGTACTTTCTTAAAGTAAAAAAGTGAAAGTATTTTATTAAACATGATCTTTACTTTTGATTCTCAATTTTAGGAATTGAAAGTAAAAATCAGGAATTATTCCTGTTACTAAACAGGCCCTGTATGTTACGTTTCTTAGTCATCTAATGTTCTGCCCCATAAAATATAGCTGGTCGGCCCAGTCTTTATAACTGTTTTATGAAATTGCTTTCAGTTTTACAGGTATCTAATATGGCCAAAAGTACTCCACTTAGTCCATCATGTTTAATTATATGAGCAACATCATCTCTAGTCTTTCCTTCATTGGAATATATATCCCTATCTTTTGTACTTAATTTACAATAAAGGTTGTCATATGCTCTATACTGAATATTTCCTTCTATAATTTTAACTTCTTTCTTTGAATATTTATATCTTTTACAACTTTATTTATATTTTTTTTAATCAAATTCTGTAAGGGACTTTTGTTTATACTTTGGTTTGGATCTTTCATATGTTCTCATAATACATGTCCGTTAGGGACCTTGACAAATGTGTTTTATGCTGGAACCCTAGATGGTAGCAATTTCTTCTAAACCTTAATTGAGTAAATAACTTGTTCATTTCTAATTGTTAAAAATGTTTCTTCCAATTTGCTCTTAGAATTAGAAGATAATTATCTGAATCTCCCATGTCTTCTAGGAATGAAACTATATATATTATATTGCAGGGAACAAACGTGATCATATACTTACCCGCAAAAGGATCTGGCATGCCTTCTCTGGATGAAATTATGTAGTATATATTCAGAATAAGAATCTATGTATTACGTCTCTCAACTGTTGGCTCAATGCCACACTTGTGAAAAAAAAAATGTTGCCTCAATGCTACATGAATTGTTGTTGTCAAAAGTCAAAACCTATGAGGTAAAGTGTGCCAAAAAATTAAAAAGGGAGGACATTGCTCTTGAAGGAGCTGAACGCTGAAAATTGATTCATGTAGTTGACTTCAACTAATCGGGATTAAACTCGATCAAGATTAGTGTTTTTGGAGCTCGTTGGTCCCTTATATTGAATGCTCATATGTGGCAGTCTCATTTCAAATGTTGTGGAAGTTGTGCTATTTGAATACACTTGAAATTACATCATGTTCTTCCCATTCAACTGGCATGGACCCTGAATATATATATATATATATATATATATATATATAAATTTGTATGGACACTTAGTTGTTAAAGGCTCAAGACGCTCTAAGGTGCCAAAGGCCCTTTGGACCCTAAGCGCAGGACGGAATATAAGTTGTGTGTAATAATATTGCATATTTAAACATATATTATTATATATATTTAGAATCAAGCAATGACAAGCATTTAATTTATGTAGTGAACCATGAATTTATGAATTTTTTCAAATGATTCATAAGGTTAAAGAATACAAATATAATATAGAACATTTTATATTTTTTGAGCCTGCATCCTACTAAAAAGCATGAGCCTGATTGAGGGGCTTGGCCTGTACTAGTTTGAGGCACTCCAGCTGAGCCTTGACGGCCTGGGGCTTTATTGGAGCCTAGGCACGCCCTTAACAACTAAAAATGGACATTCTCTTGATTTGCCAAACTATGTCAAAACTCATAAAAATGTGAAAATGCAGTTAATTTTCTGTAATTCTCATCCATCCACCTGTTGATTGATATACATATGACTGCAGAATATTTTAATGCATTATACTTATGCTGCAGGTGGGTATGGCATCACTACTGTGCTATGACTATGGCACTCATCAGTCTCACATGGGAGATAGAAAGGGGCCCAGATTGTGCCCGGAAGCAGGTTATTAAATTTCAAATATATATTGAGTTTATTTTGCTTTCTCTCTCTATGATTGAGACCATTTATGTTTTGTGCAGAGAGGGGTAGAACTATTCCTGCAATGGGCTATTATGCAAGGTATTGCAATGCTTCTGCAGAATAGATACCAAAGGCAAAGACTCTATACGCGTATTGCACTCGGCAAGGTTCAGTTTTATAATTACTTGCTTCACCAACAACTTTTTGTGCATACTGTAATTAGTGTTACGAGTTCTATCTATCCTTCACATTTTTCTTCAATCTTACTCCCTGTTTAATTCACTGAAGTTCCAGTGGTTCTATTATTGAAAAAATGATTATTCATCTTATCTGATCCGTGTTAGTGTTTTGTGTGATCTGTTTATGGCCCTCCAGAATATATATAGAACTTTATGTTGGACATAATCAGGCATGCTTGAGTCATCAATTTATCCCTCTGTAGATCTAACAAGGCTCTTACCATTGCATCTTACTGTGAATTGTAGGCCAGGAGAATGGATGTTGTGTGGGGAGAAACTGCTGGAGTAGAAGGGCAATTGTTGCTGCTGTGCCCAATACTATTCATCTTGCAGGTGATTCAAGCTTCACAAATGACTGTTTCTTAGATGCACTCAGTTTGTTTAAGGTTTTTAAATGAGCTCTGCTACTCACACAAAAAAAAGTAAAAGTATAAAATAAAAAAAATAAAATATGTTGCACCGTCAAAGTCATGTGGGATATAAAAAAAATGGAAAAGGAAAAACGCAAGTGATTCAAATCAAGATTTATTGAATAAATAAATGTTTCCTATAATTTATTTTAAATTGACTCGTGTACGTGTCTCGAGTGCGGGCATGCATCCAAACATCGGACATGTTGAATCCCCACACTGAAGAATGCAAGGATACTGCCAAATATTCATATTAGTTAATATTTTTATTTTATTGTGTTGTTAAGGTGCATGTCCAACCACAAGTGTTAGACACGTTATATATACCCATGCTTGAGTGTTGTGTATCCAGCATTGGAACTTCACCTACTTTTGAAGAGTCCATGTGATGTAGCCTGTAACTGCTATGGTCTTGCCCATTATTGTAATTGATCAAAATATGTTTTTTGCGTTAATTGGAATTGTATAAGTTGCAGTTAATAAGATAAGAAGAGGTATAATAATGGGTATGACCATAGCAAAAAGATAAGAACTCATAAATCTCCATATGGTGATCAAAAGTTTTGCAATCTGCATTGGACTCTCTATATTGTACTTGTTCCTTTTGTATGTGTCCTATTCATTGCATAATGTTGTGTTATATTACTCTTTTAAATATGTGAAGTACCTGTGTTGAATCGACGATACCTGGGTATGTTGTGTCGACATGTCTAATTGGACATGCACCTAGCAGCATGGATAATAATTCAATTTTGCTATATGATGTACATAAAACTCTCTTTTTTTCCTGTTACATTTTGATACCAAACTAGGTACGAATGTTAAGCATTGTATTACATTAAAACACCATTTTGCCATAAAACCTAAAGATTTAAACTCAAGAAATTATGCATATCTAGTCATGTTCACATGTCAATGTGTTCTGTGAACTGAAAATCCAACGCCAACAAGTTAACACTCGACATATGCCTTTCATATTCTCCAATAGTTCTTGCATACCCACACCACAATTTTCTTTTTTGAATAGAGTATTTCAGAACTTCACATGTTTATCAGGTCATTGTAAACATCACCGTTCTATAAGTTCTTGCATCATAAATTCCATGAATCCTTATGTTGAATTTAACTCACTAGTTGTGAGTCCTGTACACAAGTTTGTGTGCGTGCATGTGGTACTTACTAAGATATTATAGTTTTTGCACGCCCACACTTAAATTCTCTTTAGTTAAAAGGCAATTTGAGAGGTTCTGCGTCTAAACTTTTACTGATCCTTGCAGTTTCAATTGAAATAATTGAATCTAGAATGTTTTAATATATATTCCCTCTTTTTTTTTTTTTTTTACGAGGCAAACATTTGCCTTATACAAGAAAGGAATCTGATGTACTCTTTCAAACAAATAGCAACAATGCCTGAAAAAGTATTTGAGTGCAATGACATCTTGTTGGTTATTGGCTTCTTTATCAATTGACCTAAATCGTTTTTTCCCCCACTTGAGAAAGAATATTGTGTCAATAGCTGTGGTGGACTTATTGTCTCTCAGGGCCTTGCATTTGCATGATTTATTTAGTAGCTCTACATTTATCTTCTTTAATAATTTGTCACATCAATTGATTGTTCACTTTGATTTGTCACAACATAATAAGAAACAAAATGTTTTACCACATGGAACTGAGCTGTCGTATCTTTGTTTATGTGCATTTCATTTTCAGGGTTTTGAAGCATATGTTGGAATATTGTTACTTAAAACTGCTTTTGATGGTGTTGTTTCTGAGTGGCAGGTGAGCAATACTTTGTGATTGCATTATGCTTTGAGATGTAACTTGATTTCTTCTATTTCTGTTGTGTTCCTAGCTTCTTAGATTGACTTTTATCTTTCCTCTTTTCCCATTGCAATGTCTGCTCAATTAATTACCATCATAGTTACTGTCACGCTGAGATGGCCCTAAATTGGATTGGAAAATATGTTTTTGGCAGGTAGTTACCTGTGGAATCCTCCTGATTATTATGGCTGTTGGGAATTTTTCAAATACTGTGCAGACACTCATGTCAAAGTCTCGGTTTAAAGCAAAAATGAAGAGAAATAAGAGCAAGTCTGAACTAAATCCTCAAACCCCTTCTTAAGCGTTCGTGATTTGGGAGACCGTCTCATCTTTGGTAAAATATACGGTAATGGGCCTGGGCACATGGATATGACAAGTCTTTTGCAACCCATTCTTACCTCGACACCTTCTCACCTATAAATGAGTATCGATTCTCACAAAATCGAAGGTTTTTGTTTTTCAACACCGTCAAGTCTTAAAATCAATAATACATCTGGTTTTGTGTGCACATGTTCTTGTGGATTTTTAACGCTTTCATGCGAAGAGCATAGGCACTAGATTGTTAATGTGTAAAAGTTTATGTATAAACCTTCTTACATGTTTTTATAACGGAACTTTGAAGCGTTTCACTCTTCCTTGGAAAAAGAACACAATATGAGAGATTCAGAAGATTAATGGAAAAAGAATACCAACCAGTTAGCCTTATACGCCAAGATTGTTATATAATTTGTTTCAGGTTGCAGATTGAACACGCGATTAAATCTAAACCGGGACCGTTATATTATTGGATGTAAAGTGATCCAGGAGTGCTTTGCTGCAGCTCGTCTGGTACTTTTATGGTGTAAAAGAAACCTAAGGAGTAATATTATTTTTCGATCGATGAGATGGGAGCATATTATTTGGGTGCCTTTACTTTCTCTTGCAGGATTATATGGAGTTAAAACCAACTGCAACATATGTTAACTTGCGCACAACTTCGTTATTTAAATAAACCCAACTTTTTATTAGGAAACCAGCAGAAATGTTGCTGGTCAAATTTCAATGGGTTTTCTTGTCATTCATGAAATACAAAAATACTTGACCCAAGGAGCTCTTTTTCATCTACTTTCAGCTATGCCGCTCTGCTACGATCAAGTCTCTTAAAAACTCTGCATTTGTTGTAATTTGTGACATCAATAGGATGATCTCCATGCTGGCTCCATTGGTGCCTTCTCAAGTAGGGGAATGGCAACGTCCAAACTTGACTGGAACAAACCGAGCTTTTCGAGGAGTTCCTTGATCAGAGTCCCTACCACATAAGAAACACCCGAGGCCATAAATCCCATGATAACATAGTACAACACCGTTTTAATATAAGACTTGGCTGGCCTCTGAATGTACGCCTTTCCAATTGCAAGTATAATGATGCATAAAAGAGAAGCTGCTGCAACTGCCAGAAGCTTGTAATCACTGTTGTCACTCTCTCGAAACGAGAAGCCAAAGACGACAGGAGGCAATATGCCAAAAACGAGGAACGATAACACAGCAACAGTTGCATGAAGGAAAAAATTCTCTCTGCGGCCTAGTAGTTCTTGGTACCGATTTACTTGGTTAGTTGCTTGATTGGAGGCGCTCTCAGAACTGTCATTTTTCATATCCCAAAGCTGCAAATGCACACGTAAGTTCACAATGCAAGTAACTTGGATACATGCAGAAAGCAGCAGATTTTATAATATAAACAGGTCATCAGACATGTATCAACAGCAGTGGAGTTCCAGCTTTGGTCTTTTAGTTTGGTGTACAAATACAGTTAAAAATCCACCTCTAGGATAAATTTCTCGAGTATTGGATGGTGTACACCAACAATCATATATAAGCAGATGATTTATTTATCAGATTACCAAGATTGGATTTCAATATCCTGATAGACGTGCTTATATTAGGTTACCAGATTTTTCACATGAATAAATAAAAATAAAAATAAAAACATGGAGAAATGAGCATGCATACTTGAACACAAATTGAATTGCTGATGTAAAAGAGTCCATAGTAAAAATTCATGGCATGTGGTCCTGTTTCTCTCCTACTTATTTGCCATTACAAATTCATGGGAAATTTATACATAAAGTTCCTGTTATTTGATATACAGAAGAGTTTCCAAAATTAAGGGGAAAAAAAGTGAAAAGTCATTGCTGAAGATTCTGGTTTTCATGGAAACTTTCTACATGCCATACCATGTCAAGCTGCTTAGATTTTTAATGTGTCTCATGTGAGCTCTAAAGCTCAAGAACACGATTTAGAATCTAGTCAAAGTACAAAATTGCACCCAACAATTAGGTCATGATCATTTTTATGTGATTTTTTATTATTTATTTTTGATCCGAAATGCTTTCAACTAGAGTCATTTTTAGAGTGAAAACCACATTACTGGTACCCAACATGTAAAAGCATACTACTTTTTTCGTGATTGTGAAAAATATGCTGATGTTAAGAATGGACAACAAAATTACTTACATTATGACCAATGAGGAAAAGACCACCAATCAGATTAGCCAATCCCAAAGCCAAAACATTCACTGCAATAACACAAGACTAAGATTAATACAGAATTTGAAGACCCAAAAGAATATATAAGCTCAACAAAACTAACAAACTCAGCTGAGCAAGATATTTTGTTACAACAGCAGAATGTAAGTAGTGATGCTCCTGTATAATCTGAAAGGTACTTTATCATGCATTCTAGAGGATATTAGGCTAAAGTTTTCTGATGCATATTCTCAGTATAAATAAATAGCATTAAACTGATAAAACCATTTTCCTCATTTGCAATGAATCAAATTAGAGAAAGTAAAATTGAAACTAACTTCAGGTTTCATAAAATATAACCAACTACTTTTAGTGCACCAGCCTATTTTCTGTAGGCTATACATTTGACGGGGCTAATACCCATCTCACTTCTAACAAAAACTAATATTTTCGGTGTAAAGATTCATACAAAGTAATATAAGTTGTAGCATCCATACTTTATATCATCTAAAATACATACCATCTCTTAAGATAATTACTCCCTCTCAATTTGATGAGATATAAACCAAGAACCACAAACTGTTCTCCTAAAAGAAATATGAGCCAAAAATAAACCAACATAGAAAGGGAGTTAACAGTAATTCAATTCCCCCATAACCTAAATATATATATATATATATTCCCTGTTCTTTCTTTTAATGAATGGGAGAAAAAAAGAACCAAAAGCCTAGAGAAAGGGTTCTGAGGAAATAGAGCAGATCACAAACTGAAAATCCCGACTCCAAACAAAATCTTCTAAAGAGGAGGAGGAACCCCTCACATTTACCTTGAAGCCCAGATTGAAATGGTGGGGTAGTAAAACCTGGCCTGTTGACCCCTTGGCTTTTCCGGCGATACGAACGTATTTAAGTAATTGTCGTTTTGTAAGACCATAATGAAAACGCAAAATTTTTTTCTTCCTCCAAACGAAAACGATATTGAGATCTTTTCCAGGAACGCGATTGGTTTCTAAGATCACTTCCGGCTTTAGGCCTTTTATTAGTTAGTCCCAGTAAAGCTCAATTGGTTTCTAAGATTACTTCCAGCTCTAGGCCTTTTATTAGTTAGTCCCGGTAAAGCCCCCAGGGGATGTATTTTTTGAAACGAGGTCCTCGGAAACGCGACATAACGCTCCTTATTCTTATTTATTTTTCCTTATTCTTATATATATATATTTATTTATTTATTGAAATTTCATTTTATAGAATAAACCTAAACTAAAACTGAACTACCAAACTCCCAGATTAGCAGCAAAGCCACAATCCATGCACCTTGATCTAATTCTGTTTTAATTAAATCTCCAGTTACAGAAGGACCAAGGGTGTGAATAGAGAAGCCATCCATATCGACTTTCATCCACCCTTGTTCTGTGATTGGGTTCAAATTGTGAAATTTTGTGGAAAAAATAATCCACTTTTTATAAGTTCCTTAACTTCCTTGCAACATAAAACAATTTGAAGGATGACATAAATAATTAATTATATCATATACTGACCTGTCAAATTGTTTTGATTTAAGCAACAGCCAAAAGTATCTAAAATACTTACATGTGGAAGCATCAGCACCAGCTGCAGAGGACACAACACCTAGGCTTGTAATTGATTCAATCAAGCCACCATATACAATGCTTTTTATTATATCCAATCCATAAACTTCTCTAGCTTCAATGCCCTTTTGATCGCCCACACGAATTTGAGTCTCAATACTTGGCATAGTCCCTGTTTCTGCTGAAGTGATAATAGTTTGGGCCATTTGAGAAGCTGCTGGTTCGACTGGCTCTTCTACTTGTATTATTGTATCATTGTCTGCATCACATTGTAACAGGACACATAGACAAGGTTTATAGTTGGGAAGCAATATGCGTAAGATACACGTATAATCATGCAATGTCATAATAAAGACGCTACTGTGCTGATAAAAGTTAGGAATACAAGCAAAGAGAACAAAATGGATGAGGGAAAATTGGTCTAGAGTCGCAAATTTATTTGTCATTGAGAGGATAGTACTTCAATCAAGTAGTTTTTACTTTTTACATAACACGTCTCATATGAAACTTAACAGTGTTTCAACAGATTCAGCTGAAACTTTCAAAATTCTGAGTCCAGGCAAGTAGGGAATAAAAGGGGTTTTGTTGACCAAATTGTAACCATAGTTACAATATGCATAACTTGTCAGAATACGTCAAACTCACCCCGGTGAGATGAGCCCCTACGAAAAATGTAAGGATCAACACGCAGGGGTGCTAGTTCTATGCAGTTCTTATACCCCACTTGATCTGACAGACTCATATAAACCACCATGGAAAGCCCATTGCCACAATGGCTATTAAACCCCAAACCCCACAATTCCTAGACAACTTACGTTAATCACATGGTCATAATATATCAAAAACCCACTACTGGAGAGTATCGACAATGGATACAATCAAAGCACATGAAGTGACCAAGTAAATAAATTCAACACCCAGTGAGAACCATAAGCAAGTGAAAACTCATTTAGAATATAGAATCACCACTTAGGTTTAGAAGACTGCGAAAACACATCAGTTTTAACAGAAAGGTCAATCTGTCATTACCTAAGAGCTGAGTTCAGCAGTTATGGTATGGGTAGGAAAGTGGGATTTAGCCATTTAGGAAGGGGTGAATCACTGTAACCACTCCATCTTGTCCCATCTTTGGTGGGGCACTACTTCTCAACCACAGGCATAAAAGATGTTTCTCTATAGATGGTTTTCTTAAAAGTTAAAGTTTTTAGTTTATCCTTCAACCCATCATATGCTATCTAATTAGTATAAAGATCAACTCTAGGAAAGTATGGGCTTTTTCAAAACTCGTGATATCTGCTTATTGGATCAGATGGTTGGAGGGTCAAAAATCAAACTCGGAAAGCGGAACACTGAACAAGAACCAAGGCTGTGTGGCACCTAAGGAGCCAATGGGACCTCAAGTGGTCCTGCATGACACCTGACTAGGTGCTGTAGCGCACTGTGTGTTCACAGGTTCTCCATTTCTTCCTAACAAAATTATCCAATGCAATTTTAAAAAATCCACATCTCCTTTATCCAAAATCTGATTCTCATGACTTCATTTGAAATTGGTTTGGCCTCATAACTCAAAAATATCTTTGGAGATGTAAGCGAGACATCACAAAAAGAAAGTTATACACGAAGCTTAGCATACATGCAGCTCTCTATGTAAGAAATTTATACATAAGGCTTTTAATCACCTAAGAAATTTGAGCTAACACTTCATAAAATACATGTTTTACTAACATTTTATGCTTGCCACGTGTTTGTAGCTTATTTCTGCATGTTAAGAAGCTTATATTTTGTACTTCAATGTGTTTGTAAACAAATACCTGTTTATAATTTATTTTTTATTCAAATACAATTTAATACTGAGAGAAGGTTTCAATATATCAGCTTTTAAAATGTCTTTCCCATCGATTAGGGTTGCAACTCAAAAGAGGCATAAGCTGTCCCAAAAGTTGGAGAAAGCAGCCTACCACATGGATATGTCGGAAAGTAGGCATCCTTTTGGACGCTCACCTGAACTTCTTCCAATATTGTACTTTGCAACTTAAAAACAATAAAATTTTATCAGGTTCAAGGATGTTCTTGCTGATTGGAATAAAATCTTGCCCTACAAACGGGTAAAGCATTCCATTAGTCAGATGGTTGGTTCATAGACTAACCAGGCCATTAATGGTTAAAATATTTATAATCCATGGAAATAGCTGAAGAAAGTCGAACAGGAAAAGAAGATTTTTTATAGAACCCTTCAAATTAGACTAATAGTGCTCATGAAGTAAACTCCTGGTGAAGAAGATTTTCTGTCACCATCATATATAAATTTAGTTTGTAAAATCTTATTTCTTACCCGCATTTCTTTCAGCACGCATATCCTTCGAATCTTTACCAATGTTGATTTGCTTCTCTTGGTGTAATGAATCCTGTACTTGTGGAATAAGGACATCCCTATCAGCTTTCAAGGGTTCCTCTGTATGAATGACCAATTTGGTTCCAGTGATGGTATGTTGAGAAAGTTCAATGCGATATGATCCATCTGCCAATGCAAAGGTATCGCTTTTTTCAGTCCCAACATGAAAAAGCTGTGTCCAAATATAATCACAAACATGTCAAATTTGTTAAAAATTTGCACCATGTCAGTAGAGAAAAAATCCTACTTGTCCCGAATTCATAAAACATGACGCATGAGAATGAACATACATGGAAATTAAAATATATAATTATGATATGAAAGCCAAAAACTTTATGATGAGTAGGCGTAAGGAAAAACACAAAAATATGGAATACTCAGATGGTTGGTTCTTAGACTAACTAGGTCATTTAATGGTTAAATATATATTCCCCATGGAAGTAGCTCATGCTGAAGAAATTCAAACAGTAGAAGAAGATTTTTTGCATGTTGCTCTAAATTAGACTAATAGTACTCAATGAAAGTCAACTCCTGGTGATGAAGATTTTCAGTCACCATCATATATAAATTTAGTTTGAAAAATCTTATTGCTTACCCGCATTACTTTCCGCATGCATATCCTTTGAATCTTTACCAACATTGATTTGGGTCTCTTGAAGTAATGAATCCTGTACTGGCGGAATAAGGGCATCGCTATCAGCCTTCAAGGGTTCCTCTGTATGAATGAACACTTTCGTTTCAGTGATGGTATGTTGAGAAAGTTCAAAGTGGTTGCCTCCATCTGCCAATGCAAAGGTATCACTTTTTTCATTCCTAACATGGAAAAGCTGTGTCCAAATATAGAATTACTAGTTTTAATGCAGTAGTTTACATTACAGATTGTGTTTGGGGTACAAATTGTCAAGTTAACAGAAGAGACTGTATCTCTAGTTTGGGTTAAGAAAACACTCCAACTGGAAAGTTAGCCCCTACCAGGGCCACCAGCTTTCAGGTTTGTTAAGAGTTCTTTATAAAACCAAAGCCCACCACTTTTCAAGGCTCTCTTGATTAATGCAATCTTATAAGTTGATAAATATCATATTATAAAAGGTTGATATCAAACATTATATTAGACACACGGTCACACCCTTCTGCAGTCTACCTGACAACCACTTCCAACCTGTGACCTAGCAGTGTGTAACATTTGCATGCATTTTGAGGAGTACTTGCTGGTAAGAGTTGAAATATGTCAGCACGAAGCACTAATAAGAGAAATGCAAATGGAGGTGGTTTGTAGCCGAAGGCATCATAAGCTATCATTAACAAACTTCTACCAATTACTTTGCTATCTGAACTTCCATTTTGGATCACAGATCTGCTGAGAAGTCTGCCTCAACAATTTGATGATTTTCATCATGGTTATCTGTTAAAACTTTAGATCTATCATCCATATTTGATTCTATGAATACTGAAATATATGTCAGCAGTAACAAGAAAGTGTCATTCTAATCTGCATATGTTTTAGTCAATAACTCAATATACACGAAAAACTCACTAAGAAACTAAAACTGTCATGATCTTTAAATGTATTATGTCATCAACACTTGAACAACTTCAACAACAAAATAGCTCATCTCCAAAGCATTGCAGCAAGGAAAAGTCTAAAAGTTCTAAAAGACAACCTCCTCTCAGATCTACAAAAGGAGAAACAGGCAGTATTTTCGACATGTTCAAAGACAAATATTAATACTTAAAAGACTACAGATTAAAATGAAGTTGGAAATAGAACCAAATTTTACGTGCCAATTCTGGAAGGAAGTTAGAATGACCAAACATGCCTTCCTATATTAGTCTTCTACATTATTATTTTCATTCAAAGTCAAAAAGTTATACCTTCAGTTTTCTCTTCTATAGCCTCATTGAGTTTCTGGTCTGTCTTTGATTCCTCATAAATTAAAGCCCCGGCATCTGAAGGAATTAAAAGCTTTAGTCCATCTTGTTGAGGTATCAAAGTAACATTTTCTGCAGGTTCCCCAATATTAACCGGAGTTCCGCTGGTAAGTTGTGTTGCTGGACGATCATGTTCACGATTGAGTAGCATTCCATTGGAAGTGCTCGATGACCTCAACTGATCACTATTATCTACTTCAGAATGATCTAGTGCAGCCCCTCCTGCACCAAAACAAATAAAGTTGCATTGGTGGTTTAAGAAAATGCAGCATATGTTGCATCCATTGTATAATTCACCAAATGCAAGACAAGACCAATTGTTCGACCAGTCATCGGTAAATATTATCACAAAACAATTTATATCTAGAAATATCAAGAGCAAGGAAAACAAGCATGGAAGAAATATGTGATAGCGGCTATAACTACGAGCATGCATGTATGTGGATGTTATCTTTGTCGATTAATTATAATATGCCATGACATATCTGTATGAAAAGACCATATACATTTAGTATGAAAATTCAACGAAATTTAGTATCACGATCAACAAAATTAGACATTGGTCAATGCAGTAGCATGTGTTGTGGGGACAAAAAGATGAGATGACTTTGTAATAAAATATAATTTAAAAGATCTTAAAGCAGCATCTTTCTATTCTTAAAGTGGCTTTGCACTCATCCTTCACAAGCAAGAACTAAATAATTTTCCTTACCTGTGCCTTTTTTCATTTTTTCATCTATTTTCTCTCCTACATCGACTGTCACTTTTCCAAGCAGTTCAGGACCTTGTGCTGAAGTAGGCAGCACATCATATCTACCTTCCTGAGGTTTAGTTGTACTACCATTTACAAGTCCTCCAACACCAGGCAATTGAGAAGGTGATGGTTCCTCTTGTACTGATGAGACTTGACCATACTGAATATTCAAGTTAAATGATGGAATCAGGGTTCCAACATTATCATTTTCCACATCTTCCCTCCGACCACTTCCTGCATTAGCACATAATGAAAGAGGTAGATGTATATAAGCACAAGGGACTTTGAAAACTAAACATATCTAATACATCACTAAATATTGTTACATTTACAATGCCACAACAATAGCTTTATCCCTACCCATTTGTATTTGTTTAAAGTAATTTTTATGTAATGCCCATAACTAGGCCAATTTCAATTTTTTTTTTTTTTTTTTTATTCAATATTGAATGCTAAACCTGACCTCCAGCACACATCTTTGTCATTTCCTACAAAATGATTGTACTAAAACAATGCCCATACCATGCTTTAGTTCCAACTTCTCTTCCCTAAATTTTATATTTATCCAAGATTACTCCCAAGCTTTACTTAAACCTGGTTTAAAATCTTTCTTTAACAAGACCACATCCTTGTAGGACGGAAGCTAGCGTGGCCCAAATGCATCTGGTCATTCTGGAAAACTTTACAAATAAGGCAAAGTAAATGCGTAACAAAACAAAACGGTTTTCTCTCATTAATTTCTTTTACTACTAGTGGAAGAGACCAACTCTAATAAGTTACTGAAAATATTGGTGGAAAAGATAATGTAATCAATTTCACTAAAACAGAAAATATTTCACTCCCAAACAAGTTAAACAGTTAAAAGCATTACAGCCAAGATAGTACCTTGTTCAGATGATGTTTCCCCCTTATATGATGAGAAAATAGAGAAAAACCAATTTTTGTTCATTACCGGTGCCTCTTCAAGGTTTTGTGTGTTCTCCTTCTCACTTTTAAAACTATTTCCTGCAAGATTTAACAAAATAAAATCCATTCTATCTGTTATAAGACCCTGAATATTATAGATAAGATAAGAAATGAGGAACTAGAAATTGCCATGCCATGTTTGTCACAAATGCAATACTCCATTGGAGATGACTCAAATTCAAGGAGTCACTTGTAGCACATAGAAACACTGTATTTATGTTCTTCCTTCATGTCAATACATGGTAAATCCCATAAATTTACAACTATTTTTTTTGTTGGGTGGGGGGGTTGAAGTTCATGCCTATTTAAACTTACCATATGAGAGGTAATTATCATCACATTCTCATTGGGACTGTTAAAAAAGAAAACCATCCAAGATATCTTAAATCAGTCAGAAGAACCAAAACCAGATGATGAAATAAAGGAAAGTCAACTTTGAGTTAAAAGAAACCTAGAAAGATGCTAATACAAGAAGTTAGGATAAGCATAAAGATGGCATGGATGGAGCCCAAAAAAAAAAATGCAAATGCCTGACAAATTAAACTTACAGAGTGGGACCCTTCTTGCTAATACGAACTAGTTGAGAAGCAGTATTGAATCATTGATGACAATAAAGACGAGAAGATATCGTATAAAAGGCTCAAAATAATAAAAGATGAGACAAAATCTGATAATGGTATGATAGTTATTTTATTTTTTTCCTGAATGGTATGATAGTTATTTAAATACTGAAAATCAGAAAATACCAGAAATAACATTTATTTATGATTTTAAATCATCCACTTTTCACATAAGTTTTATAAAAAGGTAACCTATGTTAGACATTTGCATCCTACTAATGTCACTGCTACTCCACATAAAGTTTTGACTGCATTTTTAATCAAGCTGGCCACATGCAGTCCATATGCACGATAAAATTGAATAGGAATGACAAAGAGGCATAGACATGTCTCCTCTTGAAGAGCGCCCATGCCACTTTGGAGACAACTACTGCCTAACCAATGTTATCAAAGGCCCAAGGCGCACTAAGGCGCTAGAGGTCCTTTGGAGCCTAGGCGCAAGGCAAGGCGCGCGCCTGAGTGAAGCGAGGCGCACAATTAAAAAATTAAATTCCTATTAAAGCATATTCATATTCCACATTAAAGGAGAAAATGTTGTCAAAGGTGCACCTGGGCACACAATAGGCGCAAGTGTTGCACCTGTATGAGACGTGGGCCTAGGCGTGCACCTAGAACAACACTGTGCCTAACAGGCTAAATTTAAGGGTTCTCCTTTGGCGGTTTTGGCATCATACAGAAACCTCAAGAGTCAACTCATGAACAGCCTAGTAAAGTAGCCTGCAGCAAGCCTATCAGTTTTCTCCTTAGTTCTTTCGTAAGGGATACAAGGAAATCCGATCCTTGCAAGAGTTTCAATCTTTGCAACACAAACAAAATAGAAAAAAACACCAAGCATGGTTGCAGCACAGACATTTCACTCAAAGATTTATCTGACTAGCAATTAAAAAGCATGAGACATGATCCCTATTAGTGATCTTTCAGTACCTTGAGAAGGCCTATGACATAAAATGAAGGCATTACTTGGCATAATGAAGTTTGTGCCCATTTCTCACACAAAAAATAAAGCATTCATATTTACTACCGTATGTTATTGGAAATTCAAACAACTTTTCCGTTACTGCACAATCAGAAAACTGCAGCTTTTATCACCATCCTCATGAGGAACCAATATCCAAATAATAATATTGAACTGCAACAATATAGCAAATGAGATGACAGGACATAAGGTTTTCAGATGTATCGATACCTGTTGTTGGAATGAAAAAGCTGAAGCAGGATAAGCATCTGAATATTTCTGGTTCCCTCTGACGATTGTAGTCAATGGCTGCAGGTGTTGTGCTATCATCCAGAGGCATGTCAACTGCATCATGACCTTGATCATTTGTTGCATGTGCAGAAATAGAATCCAACTCAGAGTGAACCAGTTTATTCAATTTGTTACGCTTTGCATCTACGCCGGGATTTCGAATTTTGTGTTTTCTTTTGCGAAGAATAACCCTTCTGGTAATACAAGAATTACAATTAGGGCAGTACAAATCATGTGTATCCTGCTTCTCTAACACACTCTCAATATCTAATTCTGTTATTTCCTGGTGACTCTCTTTTACAAGGTTAATATCTGCAAGATCTATAATATTGTTGTTGAAAGAATTAGAACTCTTATTATGTTCTTCAGACAAATTTTCAGTAGGCAGGTGACTGAAACCAGACAAGCCATTGTCCTTCAGATTTTGCTCGTATTGATGGTCAGTTACATTACTAAGACTCCTTTGAACGTTAAGATTCTTTACTGTGACATCTACTCCGTCATCTCTAGGATTTCTCTCAGAAGCAGAACATTGAACACTACTATCTTCTGTTCCAGAAAATCCAAGTGTATGTTCCGTTACAAAAGATCCATGGATGGGCTCAGCATCTGCAATCATGCAGCAAATAATCCACATTCATTACCAAACTCGAGCCAAATACACACACAATCACAATCATTTATGTACAGAACTATGAGAAGAAAATTAAATGAATTTAAAAGATTTGCAGGCTAACAAAGACCAAAAGGAAACTAGTGATCATCCCCAATCCAGTTTAGCTGATTTTGTGTCCACTCACAGAATTCAAAAGCACATTTTGAGAAAATAAAAAGATAGTTACCAATCCACTAGCAAGCATAAGAAAAGGGGAATTATCACATTGTATGCAAAACAGAGCAGGTTTTCTTATCAGCCAAGTTAAATACGACAAAGCATATTATAAACACAAAACCATTCTGGTGACAGGTAACAACAAATTCCACAAATTTATTTTTGTGGCTATTACTATTTTATTGCACCTATAACATCATATGATATTGCATAGATATTCTCATTGTATCCAAATCTTCTAATCTGCAGCTATTTAATGAGCTATGAGATCTTGGTGTATAATGACATTACCACACGTCACTGTATCTTAATAATCGACTATTTTTGGTTACTCAATACAAAAAATGCCTTAACATATAATCCTAGACCATTGAATTTGGTGACCATAATAAATCTTCCTACTTTTACCCTTTCATTTTTTTATGTGGCAATATCAAGATGGTAAATCAAAAACCTACCAACATTGAAGGTAGAAAAGGCCCGCCATGTATCAATAGACATATAAGAAACAGGTGCTATGATCTTACTTGATCAGTCGTATCAAACAAGCCTCAGAAAGTAAACAGAAACTTTGGAATTTTGATATCGTTTCATGCATCGTATTCATTGACTGAAAGGAAAAAAGTTCTTGCATTTAAAACTACATTGCCATGTCCTAAATTCTAGTTAAGCTATCTGTCAGGTAAAATTGCTGAGGAACAACTAAACAGGTCTGATAATTACAGCATCTGAATTAATATGGGAAATAATTTATTTTCTTTCTTCTTCTTTTTTTTTTTGTTAAAAAAACTCAATTTATACTAATTGCGACAGGTTCTTGGTGTTTTAGAAATCATGGCATTTACTGACCTTCAGTTTCACAAACGAAACATGGTCCTTGTTGATTTACAGTTTTGACGTTCATCGACATATGCAAAAGCGATATATGGTTCTGAGTATGGTCAATCCAAGGACTTTCACTTTGGTAGGTCCAACAGCAGTTTTGACATTTCCATATTCCTTCAGTCAGAAAACAGAAAATGTAATTGTACATCGCCAAACATCAAATTGTCCCATAAGGATGAATTGAATAATTGAGTTCAAGTGGCCTCACAAGCAAGACATATGACCACTGTTTTGTGCTTTATAAAAAGGTATAGATGGTTAATTTTTGTAAACAAATTAGGACATGAACTTTAAACAACTATGGCAAGTCTTAGATAGAAAAGTGAATCTCATATGTATGTGACAATTTAGTCAAAAGAATGAACCCAAAAAAGAAAGAAAAGAAAAAGAGACTGCAGTGACATAAAGGCATGACTAAAGTTCAGACACATGAGGATCTAAAAGACACACAGCAATTGTGAGAAAGAACCCTTTTAGTAATCACTTGCATCTGCTTAGGTACCTATGAGATCCAAATGACGAATGTATCCATAAATTTTTTGCCAATCTTTAAGAAGAAGTTCAAAAACTAAAAAAGAGAAAAATAAAAAGAAAAAATAGTTTTTTTCAAAAAAAAAAAAGGACAAAGAAAAGGATATTATCTGCTGCAGTTCAAAAGTTCAGTTCTCTTCCAACAAAGGCAGCAATAGCAAACTCACATCATGAAGTGGGAGATAAATATAGAATAATTACAAAGTGTGGGAAAAATAAATAAATAAATAAAGAAGAACTTTAGTAGGAAGAACAGACGCAATTACCTTGAATACAACATTATGAGCAAATTGACAATGAATACTTCAAATTTTGTGATGTTCTAACTTGTAAGAACTTACAGCTTCAACCTACCCAGAGAGCTAATTCCAATTAAATGAAGGGAAAACACATAACCCCAAGATACGAATCACTAATAAGGGAAACAGGAAGTAAGTAAATGAGGTCTAAAGATTTAAGTTCTAATAGATAAAAACAAGCCACTCAATTAATCTAACCAAAAATCTCTCTCAGGAATTGTTATGGCCTCTTAATGTTTCTGGAAAAGAAACCAAAACAATAATAAAAATTAATTAATTCCCCCATTATGGTTCATGTAGTTAGAAGGCTAGTCGAGCTCTAAAGATGAGCCCGGGGGCCTTCTTAAGTCTGTTGAGCTTAAGCGAATGTCATTTGGTTAAAAAATGCGGAATCTCGTCTCAACCATATAGGCATATACACAAGCCTCTCAACTCCCAGGTCTCTGTTTTGTGATGACCCAGTGAATCACACTCATAATCTCTCTTTAGTACTGTTCTTATCCAACAAAGTAAAATTCCAGCAGAATATCCCTTCCACACAAATCAATAATCACATTCCCCATCAACCCTACTTCTTACTCTCACGAGAACTGTTGTTCCAATCCATCAACTACCCGACTCATCATCGCCGGTCACGGTATCTTCGTTGCTCTAACCATTTACCAATTCTTTAATTGGAATTGTGGTTGATTACTTCTTTTTGAGCATTCATTAAAGAATACTAAAAACTTGCACCAATCCCAAAATAAGATAAAACAAAGAAAATGGGGATCCAGTATATGAATGTTAATGTACAGATCGATGACCAATCAAAGCAACATCCCTAAGTAATCTCTAATCTGATAAAGAATGCCTCAATCACATGCATACATGAACACACATATGCATAATAAACGAAGTCCAGTTTATGTACCTTGAAGTATACTGAAGGATGATGGGATTCCCCGTAGCAAATCTTAAAATACTTTACTCTTTGCAAATTGAGACAGAACAGATATAGATTTAAAAGATATAATATATATAAATATATATACACACACACACACATACATATATGCATATATGTACTCAGTTAATGATATAATAGTACTTTAGGAACAGAAAGCTTTTGGCGTGAATAAGTAGGAAGGGTAAGGGCCCCCTAAGGGAGAAGGGTGAAGAAAGATGAGGCAATGGGGTCCAAAGCATTACTTTTATTCCATATTTTTTGTTTTTAAAGCTCACAGTGAAAGAGAAGAAGAACAAAATTATACTATCCATACAGAGACAGAGATGAAGAAGAACGCAGTCAAAGCAGAAGAAAGAGAGAGACCGAGAAACCAAAGGCAAACATAACAGGTAAGAATGAAGATATATATATATATATATATATATATATATATATAGAGAGAGAGAGAGAGAGGGATAGGCAGTAACTACAAAAGGGGGAAAAAATGAATAGTATATGGATGTACCTTGATGTTGGTCATAGTAAACGTTCCTTTCTGAAATTTGTTGTCCATCTTCTTTTTCAATTCCTTTCTGGACATCAAATTCATTAATAAATTGAAGGTCTTCCTCTTTAAATTGTTGTTCTTGGATTATAGATCTATCTCCATTGAAAGACTCTGAGGTCTTGCCATTACTAACAGTAACAGTAACTGTAGTAGTAGTAGCAGTAGTAGCAGTAGTAGTAGTAGTAGAAATAGCGTCATTGTCGCGATTTCGATTCCTTCTTCCTCGCAAAGCCACTTCCACTGTTTCTATCTCTTCCTCTTCCTCTTCCTCTTCCTCTTTCCCCTCCACCTGTGGCTCCCATTGTGGCTCACCTTTTTCCATTCTATTCCTCGAAAGAAAGAAAGAAGCACACTATCTGCCTGGCTCTCTTTCTTTACAGACACGTCTTTATTTATCTCTGTCACTGTGGTTCCTCAGCTTTTTCTAATTTCTTTTATTTATCTATGCATATACTAATATATATATATATATATATATGATGTAGGGTAATGTCACCATAATGTATATGTATACCTGGTTGTTGAGTGAATACAGAGGTCGTTGCAGAAAAGTTAATGACGACAAGGTATTGGGCACCCGCGCACCCTACTTATTCGAGTCATATGTGCTGTACAAGCGCACGTACACGTACAGCTCTTAAGGAGAAATAATTAAATGACTTTAGACTATATATATATATATATATATTTTTTATTTTTTTTAAATATATGTATCGAACTCATAATATACGCACTATTTAAGTCAAGTGTGGAATTTAAAAATTATATTTCAAAAATTTACTTCACGAATATCTACCCGACGACCAATAAAATTTAATAAATTAATTAAATATAAACTCTCAAATTAAAAAAATAATTATATAAAAAAATAATTGTATAAAAATATATTAATTTATTATAGACTATAGAGTGTTATAATCGAAATACTTTTATTAAATTAATCTACCAATTATCAAATGGAACAAAATCACCGCTGGAAGGAGGGGATGGGATGCACTGTTGACCTAATGTGTAGTTGACATAATTGGGAGTAAGAATGTGAACAGGGTTTGGTTTTCCAAGAATAAATAATTATATAATTGAAAAATAATAATAATAATAATGTGATGATGCACAACTGCCTTATCTTACTGCCGCTTCTTTCCTTCCCAATAAAATATGATAAGATTAAATACAAATGAATGCAATAAAAACAAACGATATGAATTTTAGCATCCTTCAACCCCTTTTTATTATTTTATGTGAAGTTGGTAGTATATGGTTGCAAGCTAGCAATTTTTTATTCTCCATAAAATTTTAGTCAGTCTGTTTATGTTGTAGTTGCAAATAATAATGTGTTAATTAATAATTTTTGAAAGGTTTCATTTTCATTATGTTATCTTATTCTCTATAAAATTTTAGTCAGTCTGTTTATGTAGTATTTGCAAATAATAATGTGTTAATTAATAATTTTTGAGGTTTCATTTTCGTTTGACATAAGATAACAATGATATTTATGCACGAAAAGGCAGCACCACACTTTAATTTTGAAGAAAAAAAAAAAGAAGGAAAGGGAGAACGCTCCTCCCATTGTGGTGAAACTTCATTGTAACTATCGTTACTTTTTTGGGTTCCACTATAAGGAATTGAGAGATTTGGACCTCTCTCCATACATGTGTTTATTTTGTTGTAATTATTATTTTTTTCAACCAAAACAAAATACAAATACCAATTTTATAATTTGTGCTCCTTAAGGCTTAATCTATCAACCTCCAAATTATAAAGTAAAAATCTTTATCATTAAACTATACTCTTATATTTCATTAACAACCCAATAAAACGTTGTAGAATAGAAATTTATTAGCCATTTTGGAATGTCTTTGTAGATTGATACGCGACATTTAAAATCTATTTACTACTTATGTTAAATCACATCAACTAATTTAAAGAATATTTAAAAACTACACGTTATAAGATAAAAGAAAAGTTACCAAATTTTAAAAACTGCACTGTTTTGAAATAAGAAAAATTCACAATATTTTAACGAGGTTGTCGTTTTCTCTTCCTCATCTTTTTCGAAAAAAATCACTTCCTCTTTCTCCTCTTGCTTATTTCCACTATTGGGAGAATATTTCAAGCCAAAAATGAATATGCAAATTAAAAGCCCCTGTAATGGATTTTGCAGTTTAAACTTAAAAAAAAAAGTGCAATTTAAACTTGAAAAAAAGAGAGTGAAAAAAAAAAAAAAAAAAAAGAATTTTGCAATTTAGATTTAAGAAAAAGAGAGTGAACCAAAGCTCCAAGAGGAGAGAAAGGAAGCGATCTTTTTCGAAAAAAATGAGGGAGAGAGAGTATGGAAAAATTTCCTTCTTTCAAAATAGTGGAATTTTCAAACTTTGTTAAATTTTTTTTATCTCAGAAAAGTGCAATTTTCAAATTTTCCTTAAATTAATTGAGTGGTTTAACACAAACAGTAGATAGATTTTATATATCACGTGCCAATCTGCAAAAAATTCAACTTAAGATAACTTAGAAAATATTTAACTTAAAAGATCAAAATTCTTCTAAAACATCCATTTTTAATATAGCATTCATTATTTTTCTTAATCATAACAAATAATGGTATTAATATATCGGCCCTTCATAACTATCTTATGATATTCCATCTCTTCTCTCTTAAAATGAAAATATAAAAAAGTCCCGACATCATACCATATATAATAATTTCCATCTTGTATAACTTGTCTAATTCTTTTTAACCTTTTTCAGAATTTCGATTTGTTCCGAATTTTATCTTAATTTTGTTGCAGTACTTTGTTCATGTTGGACTTGGGGACGTTTCTTTGTGTTGGATGCCTTCTTTTGTACATTTTTTTTCGTCAAACTTAATTATCTCACTTGCCAAAAATATATATATATATATATATTGTTCCTATTTCTTCTTTTTAAGTGGTAGTGCTATTGTCTTACCTTTTTTTTTTTTTTTTTTTGAATCGTTTCAGAGAGACTTTCGTAAGGAGCGGGACAAATTTTTTCTCACACAATCACTTTAATAGAAGTTAATTAAAATGACCTCTCATGATTATTGAAGAGATAATTGCTAAAGACATTTATAAAGGAATTTTTTACAGATTTTGTTTTTGCAATTGTCCTTAAAATTATAATAATTATGCAATTGGTCCTTAAAATTATAATAACTACATATCAAATAATAAGAGGAAAAGAAAATAGAACGCCAAATATAATTGTGAACGGCCAATGTTAACTCCAGTATATTGATCGAAATATCCAATAATTTCTGAAGAGGAATAGAATATTCTCGTCAGCATGGTCCATGACAGGGGTTGTCGTGATCTGATCTGAATGGTCCAAAAATGGCGGGTCCCACGTTGGATCATCCACCGCAGTAGCGGTGTGAACTTAACGTATCACGTGTCATGGGCATGGTTTTCTCAGGTTGCCATATCTTTACACGAGAAACAGCTATTTAATGTACCTTTGGCCATTTCTATCCACTAGTCAGAGTACTAAATGTCATATTATTCATATATTCATAACCAATACCACCAGAAAAAACAATACTATATGCCACATGTGATGGTTGACCTGAGAATCAATAAAATCCATTAACGCCACATCTCCACCACATTTCTCTCTATCACCACCTGCCCCTATCTAGAATCTCCAGCAAGTCAATAAATGCAAGATTTACTTTCATTTTTTCATATTATTCTTTTCAAATCGTGCACCATCAAGTACACACGCTAAGCACGATGATGATATATAATAATATACACAGCTCTTATTATGCAAGCTATGTTCATATATATACACATTTGGAATCAACTAAGACGTGTTTTAACAATTTGAAGTCAAATTTGGAATCCATTTTGCAATTTACTTTCCTAACCAAATCCATTTTTCAATTCTCTTTCGGATAGCATCTCATCAATACAAATCAATTTTATTTCACAATTTTATATTAGAAAGTGAATCTTTGTGACAGATATAACAAATTATAATGAATTTAAATAACAAGTTGTTCGTCTTCACTTATACTTCTTATTTTGTTAAAATCACAAGACTCATGTGTTTACTTTGACTTGATTATCTTACCCTCTGAATTTAATTCAATTAACTGTAATTATCATAAAAATTCTCTTACTTAACAATAAAATAATAAAATATTAATTTAACATTTAACTTTATTTTAATTTCATTAACAAAAACAATATCACCAATAAGAAATACATAACAGTAAAACCATAAACTACAGACACAGGACATATATTATAAATTCATAACATAAACGTGACTGGTGTTGTTGAAAAATTTCCGGCAGTAGCAGACAAGATTTGATAGATGTCACACCATTGCATGTCCACATATTTATTGGGACTAGGCCCACTTATGCAAATTTGAATACTATTGTTTCCCTGACAAATCAAATATTTAATATGTTTTGAGACTGAAGTGGTAATGAGAAATTATTATATAGTGTATCATTATATAATTTCGGTCAATTAGATTTGGGACAAAAATAAAATTAACATATTTATTTGTGTTAAGATCATTCATCCTGAACGAAATTTTTTAGAGATAATAGGAGCTTAAAATTTACACCTAATATAGGTCACTAAAATTACATAGAAACCATACCTCCAGATGTGTGAGAGAAGCTTGGCCCCGATCTAATTTATTTCAGATAATCAAGAAATAAAATAGAAAGTATGTTCTCTATCATATAATCTATGAAACACATTTTTAAAAATAAAAAATAAAATAAGAGTGATGTATCTAAATTGAATATACAGAGCTTTAGGTGACTAAGGCAGTTGTTTTTGACAAATAAATAAATAAATAAAAGAGTAGCATATCTAAATTGAATACACGCAAGGCAATGCCTCTGATAGATGTCACACCATTCCATGTCCACATATTTATTGGGACTAGACCCACTTCTGCAAATTTGAGTACTATTGTTTCCCTGACAAATCAAATATTTAATATGTTTTGAGACAGAGGTGATAATGAGAAATTATTATACAGTGTGCCATTATATAATTTCGATCAATTAGATTTGGAACAAAAATAAAATTAACATATTTATTTGTGTTAAGATCATTCATCCTGAACGAAATTTTTTAGAGATAATAGGAGCTTAAAATTTACACCTAATATAGCTCACTAAAATTAGATAGAAACCATACCTCTAGATGTGTGAGAGAAGCTTGGCCCCCGATCTAATTTATTTCAGATAATCAGGAAATAAAATAGAAAGTATGTTCTCTGTCATATCATCTATGAAACACATTTTTTTTAAAATAAAATAAAATAAGAGTGATGTATCTAAATTGAATATACAGAGCTTTAGGTGACTTAGGCAGTTGTTTTTGACAAATAAATAAAAGAGTAGCATATCTAAATTGAATACACGCAAGGCAATGCCTCTGATAGATG